CACCCGCCTAGGCCTCCCACAGTGCTGGGATTACAGGCTTGAGCCACCGCGCCCGGCCTTTTTTTTTGAGGTGTAGTCTGGCTCTGTCACCCAGGCTGGAGTGCCGTGGTACGATCTCAGCTCACAGCAGCCTCCACCTCCTGGGTGCAAGCAATACTCCTGCCTCAGCCTCCTCAGTAGCTGGGACTACAGGCGACTGGTACCACACCCAGCTAATTTTTGTGTTTTTAGTAGAGACGGGGTTTCACCATGTTGGCCAGGATGGTCTCGATCTCTTGGCCTCAGGTGATCTGCCCATCTCGGCTTCCCAAAGTGCTGGGATTACAGGCGTGAGCCACTGCGCCCCGCTGCTAATTTTTGCATTTTTAGTAGAGATGGGGTTTTACCATGTTGTCCAGGTCAGTCTCGAACTCCAGGTGTCAAATGATCCTCCCACCTTGGCCTCCCAAAGTGCTGGGATTACAGGCATGAGCCACTGCGCCCGGCCACAGGTTACATGTAACGCAAGGCAAAATGCTGTGTTTACGTCCGCTTGCCTCCCCCATCAGACTGAACTCCATAAAGGGGTAGATCGAGTCTTTCCTGGTCATCAAGGAATCTGATGTGCCCGGCACCTCGCAGGCACTCAGAAATATTTGCAAACAAGGTCGGCCATGGTGGGTCACGCCTGTAATCCCAGCACTTAGGGAGGCCGAGGTGGGTGGATCGCCTGAGGACAGGAGTTCAAGACCAGCCTGGCCAGCATGGTGAAACCCGGTCTCTACTAAAAATAAATAAAATTAGCCAGGTGTGGTGGCAGGTGCTTGTAGTCCCCGCCAGTTGGGAGGCTGAGGGGGAGAATCGCTTGAACCTGGGAGGTGGAAGCTGCAGTGAGCCGAGATTGCACCACTGCACTCCAGCCTGGACCACAGAGAGAGACTCTGTCTCAAAAACAAACAAATGGCCGGGCTCGGCGGCTCATGCTTGTAATCCCAGCCCTTTGGGAGGCTGAGGCAGGAGATCGAGACCATCCTGGCCAACATGGTGAAACCCCGTCTCTACTAAAAATACCAAAATTAGCTGGGTGTGGTGGCGCACCCCAGTAATCCCAGCCACTCGGGAGGCTGAGGCAGGAGAATCGCTTGAACCCGGGAGGCGGAGGTTGCGGTGAGCCGAGATCCCGCCACTGCACCCCAGCCTGGATGACACAGTGAGACTCGTCTCAAAAACAAACCAACAAAAATAACAAAACGAGAAACAAACAAATAAGCATTTGCAAACGAGAGAATGCAACAGCTACGTCCACCTCGCTGTGTGACTCTGGGCCGGCGGCTGCCCCTCTCTGGGCCTCACCTTTCCCGCCAGGGCGAGAAGAGACATCTGCACCTGCGTCAGGTTCCCGCTCTCAAAGAGGTCGTTGGCCTCGAACAGGTCCACGGGGTTCATGCCGTAGCTGACCATGGCCTTGATGAAGTTGGAGAGGTTTTCCAGCTGGGAGGAGGCCGGAGAGAGACGGTGAGTGGGACTCAGTTTCCCCGCCTGTCAGATGGGCCCGCCTGCCCCGTCCCTGCTCCACCCTGCCAGCCCCTCACCTGGTGCCAGTTCTGCATGGAGCGGTTGATCTTGGGGACTGAGCCTGGCTGTAGCTTGTTCATGAGTCTGGAGGGCACGGTACGGGGTGGGGGGAACGGAAGCCTCGGTGAGCAGAGAGGAACCCTGAAGACCCGGAGGCGAATGTCCAACATCCTTATTTATTTATTTTTGAGACAGAGTCTCGCCTTGTTGCCCAGGCTGGAGCACAGTGGTGCAGTCTCAACTTACTGCAACATCCGCCTCTCAGGATCATGCGATTCTCCTGCCACAGCCTCCAGAGTAGCTGGGATTACAGGCATCTGACACCACCACGCCCGACTAATATTTTTGGTTTTCTTTTTCTATTTTTTTTTTTTTTTTTTTGAGACGGAGTTTCGCTCTTGTTACCCAGGCTGGAGTGCAATGGCGCGATCTCGGCTCACCGCAACCTCCGCCTCCTGGGTTCAGGCAATTCTCCTGCCTCAGCCTCCCGAGTAGCTGGGATTACAGGCACGCGCCACCATGCCCAGCTAATTTTTTGTATTTTTAGTAGAGATGGGGTTTCACCATGTTGACCAGGATGGTCTCGATCTCTTGACCTCGTGATCCACCCGCCTCGGCCTCCCACAGTGCTGGGATTACAGGCGTGAGCCACCGCACCTGGCCTTCTTTTTTTTTTTTTTTTAATTTTAAAGATGGGGTTTCACCATGATGGCCAGGCTGGTCTTGAACTCCTGACCTCAGATGATCCCCCCACCTCAGCCTCCCAAAGTACTAGGATTACAAGCATTAGCCATTGTGCCCAGCCCCCAAAAAAATTTCTTAATAAAAAAAAAAAAGTGAGAAAAACCAAGATTTGTTAAGTGTGAGACAGCGCGTGTCCCTGCGTGCACTCACGTGCATAAGATGATCCCGTCCTTCAGGCCCTTCTGGAAGTCGGGGCCAATGGAGAGGCCGGTGAGCCCCTCGATCCAGCTTCGGAGCTCTGCCTCCTTCTGCGGGTCATACTTGGACAGGAGCTGGTGGAGCGAAGGGCATGAGACTGAGCTGGGGAGGGGGCACACCCGGCAGATGCCCCTCGGAAGCTCCAAACAGGGTGGGGCCGGGGACTCCAGGGCAACGGGAGACATAGGGGCCTGGAGGTCCCCCTCACCACACCCACGAAGATGCTCCTCCGTTCCCATCGTTAGGCGCGCCCCGGCCCCTGCAGGCGGGCACAGAGAAACCACGCCCCAGCAAGCCGAAGATGGGCTCCTAACTCCCTGATAAACATCAGCTCTAATCCACTGCAATGCAGGACGAGCTGGCAGGATCCGTCCCGCGCCCTGCCTTCTCCCCTCTCTGCTGCTCACACATGACATTTACCACCGCAACCACCTGAAAGGGCACAATTTCGCCGCACTCAGTACATCTGCAGTGCTGTGCAACCGCCGCCTCTTTTATTTATTGGTTTATTCATTTATTTATTATTTTTTTAAGACGGGGTTTCACCATGTTGGTCAGGCTGGTCTTGAACTCCCGACCTCAGGTGATCCGCCCGCCTTGGCGCCAACACGCCCGGCCCCACCACCTCTTTTATATCTTTTCTGAGGCAGAGTCTCTCGCTCTGTCTCCCAGACTGGAGTGCAGTGGTGCAATCTCGGCTCACTGCAGCCTCTGCCTCCGGGTTCAAGCGATTCTCCTGCCTCAGCCTCCTGAGTAACTGGGATTACAGGCACACGCCACCACGCCTGGCTAATTTTTGTATTTTTAGTAGAGTTGGGGGTTTCACCACATTGGCCAGGCTGGTCTTGAACTCCCGACCTCAGGTGATCCACCTGCCTCGGCCTCCCAAAGTGCTGGGATTACAGGCGTGAGCCCCCGCGCCCGGCCAGTAATTCTGCGTTTAACTTACAGAGGAGCTGCCCAATCTCCCTCTTTCCGAATGTGGCCTGGCTGCCTCCTGCCTCGGGGCCTTTGCACGTGCTGTCAGCGCCAGCCCTGAGGTTTGCATGGGCAGCTCCCTCCCTCCAGTCCAGCCCCAAAAGGAAGGTCGCCTCCCTGGCAAGGATTTCCCTGACCACCCTGGTAGGGACAGCCTCCCCAGTGTCCCTGTCTCGCCGACCCTACTTATTTATTATGGGTGATGGAGTCTCACTCTGCCACCCAGGCTGGAGTGCAGTGGTGCGATCTCCGCTGACTGCCAACTCCACCTCCCGCGTTCAAGTGACTCTCCTGCGTCAGCCTCCAGAGCAGCTGGAATCACAGGCGTGCGCCACCCTGCCCGGGGAATTTTTGTATTTTTAGTAGAGATGACGTTTCACCATGTTGGTCAGGCTGGTCGAGAACTCCTGACCTCAAGTGATCCACCCACCTCAGCCTCCCAAAGTGCTGGGATGACAGGCGTGAGCCGCCGATCTGGCCTGATTCTGCTTTTTAGCACCTCCGGAAGGAGCTGCTCTAGGGAGTGACAGTCTCTGCCCGCACACCTGACTCCTTGCCACCAACACCTTGCCACCGTCCTGCACCTGGCCATTCCAGCTTTCTCGGTCTCTGGTGCTCTGACACACTGCCGTGGGGAATGGGTTGTGTGCTCCTGGGCGGTGGGTGTGCCCCGGCGGGGACCTTTAGCATCCTTATGCAGCCACCAGTGACGGCGGAGACAGCACTGAGGTGGACGGCAAAGCGTATAGGGGACCAGAAGTGAGCAGGAGCAGGAGAGAAACGTTCGAGGGAAAATAAAGCAGGTTTGGTCGGGGCGCGGTGGCTCACACCGGAGATCCCAGCACCGTGGAGGCCGAGGGGAAGGATCACCTGAGGCCAGGGGTTTGAGACCCGCCTAGCTGACATGGTGAAACCCCATGTCTACTAAAAATACAAAAGGTTAGCTGGGTGTGGTGGCGGGCACCTGTCATCCCAGCTACTCAGGAGGCTGAGGCAGGAGAATTGCCTGAACCCGGGAGGCGGAGGAGACAGTGAGCCGAGATCGCGCCATTGCACTCCAGCCTGGGACAGAATGAGAAAGAAAAGAAAAGAAAGAGAAAGGAAAGAAAGAAGGAAGGAGGGAAGGAAGGAAGGAAGGAAGGAAGGAGGGAAGGAGGGAGGGAGGGAAGGAGGGAGGGAGGGAGGGAGAAAAGAAGGAAAGAAGGGGAGAAATGGAGAGAGAGAAAGGAAAGAAGAAAGGAAAGAAAAATGAGAAAAAAAGAAAGAAGGAAGGAAAGAAAGAAAGGGAGAAAGAGAGAGGGAGGGAGGAAGGAAGGAAAAGAAAGAAAGAAAATCAAATCCCTCCCCTGGCTCTGCGCCCTACTCCCCAGGCTCCAGTGGACAGTTCTCTCCCCCCTCAGCTCAGCTTCCTCATCTCTGCCTGGAATCATTTGGGTAGGGTCCCCCCAACCTGGGACCTGCCTGGAATCACTTGTGTTAGGGTCCCCCGACCTGGGACCTGCCTGGAATCACTTGTGTTAGGGTCCCCCGACCTGGGACCTGCCCAGAATCACTTGTGTTAGGGTCCCCGACCTGGGACCTGCCTGGAATCACTTGTGTTACGGTCCCCTGACCTGGGACTTGCCCAGAATTACTTGTGTTAGGGTCCCCGACCTGGGACCTGCCCAGAATCACTTGTGTTAGGGTCCCCCCGACCTGGGACCTGCCCGGAATCACTTGTGTTAGGGTCCCCC